GAAAGGAAAGGAAAGGAAAGGAAAGGAAAGGAAAGGAAAGGAAAGGAGAATGGGAAGGGAAAGAAGGAAAGCCCAGGCTCCTGCATAGCCTGATCACGAAGTTTCATCACAGGTATCCAGCTAGTTTGTAATATAAACTAGTACATGTTAATATACACTCAATCTTACCACATATTACTTACCTTCTCAAAGTCTTTTTCAGACCTTTCTTCAACCTAGAGTGAATAAGAAAAAAGAACATTTAATTTGATAATAAGGTGGCAAGTCCATGAACAGCTTCAATTGAAAGTATATTCAGTACAGGTAGTCCTCAACTTACAACCATTCAGTTAACTTACTAAACATTTAAAATTCCAATGGACTGGACATTCAAATGACGTGATTCAAATGATGAGCATGTATTTGTGACAGTTGCAACATCCCAGTGTCATGTGATTGCCATTTCAAACTTCCTCACCAGCTTCTAACTAACAAAGTCAATGGGGAAACTGGATTTTCTTCATAATCATGTGCCTTACTTAACAACTGCAGTGATTTACTTGACAACTGTGGCAAAAAATTAAGGTAACTCACTTAACAACTGCCTAGCTTAGAAAAAGAAGTTCTGGTCCCAATTGTGGTCATAAGTCAACAAGATATAACAACATTTATCTGTCAGCTTGAAATTAATCTACATAACTAACAAAATAAATCTACACAACCAATCCAATAAGTGACTATTGACTTGAATATTAACATGTTGTCCCCGTCCCCCCCCCCGGTGCCCTGTTTCCAACCTCCTATACTACTTTGCTAGCCAAAACATGGTGCACCGGAGCTGTGCGTGGCCCCTCCACACCTTATTTTGGGTGGCAAAGTTCTGCAGGAGGCCGTCCAGGTCAAAAATGGGTTGTGCAGCAGCTGCACGTGCCCCTCCGCACCCCATTTTGACCGGCAAAATGCTGAAGGAAGCCATCCAGGCTGAAAATGGGCTGTGCTGCCCTCCCACATCCGATTTTGGCCTGCAAAGTACTGCAGGTCATCCAAGCCAAAAATGGGCTGCGCAACAGCTGCATGCAGCCCCCCCCCCCCCCCCGCCCTTTTCGCCAGCAAAGTATTGCAGAAGGCTGTCCAGGCCAAAAACAAGCCACACGGGGGCTGCAGGTAGCACCTCACCCCACACCCCATTTTAGCATGCAAAGTGCTGCAAGAGGCCATCCAGGCCAAAAACAGGTTGCATAGCAGCCATGTGTGTGTCCCCATGCCCCATTTTGGCTAACAAAGTGCTGCAGAAGGATGTCCAGGCCAAAAACGTGTCACATGGGGGGTTGCACACACACCCCTGCTCCCCATTTTGGCCAGCAGTGCTGCAGAAGGCTATCCAGGCTGAAAACGGGCTGCACAGCAGCCTTGTGTGCCCTCCTGCACCCACTTTTGGAGGCTACGTGGGCCCCCCCCACACGCTATTTTGGCTACCAGAAACACTGTAGGCTGGTCATTTACTGTTTCCAGGCCGTACTTGTTTTGAGGATCTTCTTGTAATTTGTTTCTGTGACCATTGGAAGTTACAATGGCACTGGAAAAAAAGTGACTTATGACCTATCCTCGCTCTCATGACCATTACAGGATTTTCATGGACATGTGATCATAATTTGGGCAGGCATTTACAACAGCTGCAGTTTCCCAGGATTATGTGACCAGTATTTGAGACCTTCCCAGCTGGCATCCACCAAGCAAAATCAATGGGAGAAAAGTATTCACTTAATGACTGCTGTGACTCCCTTAACTGCACTGATTCACTTAACAACTATGGCAAGTTGAGGACTACCTGTATTGCCTTTAGACTGACATTGTAACACATTCAATGTTGGAACCAGTAATGTTTAATGTTTAAAAGCAGCATTTACTTTCAGTTTTCAATTCTCCTTTACAAGAGTTGTTTACAATTGAATAACCACATTCAATTCTCTTTGTCACTTGGATCCCCATCGGGACATTACCATTCTAGCAGGGAGGGAGGCTTGTATACCCCTTTACCAGGGGTGAGATCCGACAGGGTAAACTACTGGTTCGGTGATTTACGAGGTTCGGTGATTTACAATGTGCTTCCCTGCACGCTGTGCGTGCGCCTGTAAATCATCATCAGCCTGGTACCTGGACAGCTGAGCAGCGCTGCATGCTGAGAAGCAGCCTTTGAAAAAGTACTTTTTTCCTGCTTTTTAAACTGCAGCTGTGCCTCACACGGCAACTGAAGTTGAAAAAGCAGGAAATAAAGGTCAGGTAAGGTCAGGGCGGGCAGGTGGGCAAAAACATCAGCAGATATAGAACCAGTTCTGTGTCTGCTGCTCTTCAGAGCTACTGGTTCTACAGAGGTGCACAGAACCAGTAGAAACCCACCCCTGCCTTTTACAACCCCTTTCCGGTTTCTGGTCCTTCTGTCACTTTGATGTACCTGTTTGGGAAAGGGAGAGTGAGGGGTTGACCTTGGGACATCTGTTTTGTCTCAGCTCCGAAAGAATGGGCAAAGCGGTGCCTAAGAACAGCTTCTTATCACCTTCTCAGCTTGAGTTCTCATAACAACTTCACATCTGTGGTTTGGCTCACCTCAGACTGGACATAGGGGAGGGGTTTTCAGCAACGTTTAACCTAACCACTCTAAGCGGGAACTTCAGATCCTGCCTTGCTTTACTTGCTATCACTTTCTCTCAATAAAAGTTTCCTTTTGAAAAAATGCCTGTTTCAAGAGTTCTGCTTTCTTGAAGAGAGAGCAGAGGCAAGTCCTTATACTCTGCTTCTTCCTCCCTTTGCTCATTTGACTGAGATATGCATAAATCATATCTACAAAACCACAGTTTTAAAAATTAAATTAGTGGTTATCTTAAACATCATGTTTGAAGACAATGTTCAAACTGCGAACAATTTCCAAAAGGGAGAAATCTTTAACAATGATAAAAATGTTTCATTTAGTCTAATTACTAACCCTTAAGCTTCCACGGCTATGCACGGAAACATGATCATCTTCATCTGAAACCTAAGAAAAAGTAAGTAAAAAAGTCACCAATAAAAGAGATATTTTTCACATACAGCTATTTGTCAACTTACAATCACAATTTATAGGCTGTTAAATGAGTTGCACCTGATTTTATGAAGTTTTTTTTTTGTTATGGTTGTTAAACGAATCAGTGTAGTTGTTGAGTCACAGGACATTAAGGAAATCCATGCTCCCCCATTGACTTTAGTTTTTATATGATAATATAATACGGCAAATCAAAAATGGCAATCACATGATCCCAGGACTATGGAACGTAAATACAAGCTGGTTGCAAGCACTCAAATTTTGATCATTTGTCAGAGATGGTGCTTCAGGTCATAAATGCAAGGACCCCAGTTTAGCCACTTTTTTCAGTACTGCTATATCTTTGTACAATTGCTAAATTAATGATTTTAAGTCAAGGATTACCTGCACTGAGTTAGTATGATGCAAAAAGTCCTCAAATAATTACATAATTTGAGTCCTGAACATCCTATCTCCATTTAAAGTAAAACAAACTTTAGAAAACTATTTAAGCAATCATTAATTCACCATGTTTTTTACAAGAAACTAAAAAAAACTCAAACTAAGGCTAAAGGAAATGTATATTACCTACCAAAGCTCTTGTTAATTATTAGTATTAGTAAACATGTGCAACAATTTTAGCCATATCTGACAGTGTACATCCAAATTGTATATAATTTCTTTTGCACAATCCCTTCACCATCATTAGCATTATATGTAGTGCTTTCAACAACTATGCTCACTGCATAGAATTTAAGCTTGGATTCACAGCACTTTTTTCATAATGGTAAAGTATCATTCATTTGCAGGCTGTAGCTGTTTCACAATGCAAATTTAACCATGAAAACTAGAGGAAATTTGTGTAAGAACCTAGGTGGTCCCATCTTGCTCCTCATTTTCTTAAATTCAAAAGAAGTAATTGCTTTAATTATTTTTCAAAGATGACAAATATGGTTCAATATTATTCATTTTAAAATAAGTATTTCTTATACAAAACAAACAATACTAACCGAGGCATTTCTGGATTTATGGGAATAATGCTCACTGTCTTCCTACCAAATGCGAAAAAAAGGAAAAGATGGAAGTTGTTTGAGATTCTACTGCAGAATTTTATAGCAGCATAACAAGACAGCACAGAATCATTTATGAAATAGAATTTCTACCCCAATTAAATCCAATTCTCACATATAGAAAACATTACAATCTTTTATATTAGAGGTTATGGAAACTTAAATCCTTCATAGCAAGAATATAATTTTTGTTTTAGTTCCATATCAAATTTGCTCCTTCCCAAATTCCTTTCTGTTGTTCAACTTGTAACTGAATTATTTAAATAAATGTAATATAGCTGTATCAGATCATGCTCTAGGAACATGGAGGTTGCCTTTGAGTCAATGTTGACTCTCAGCAATGCCTGGACAAGTCCCTGCAGTTTTCTTTGCAAACTTTTCAGAAGTCATTTGCCCTTTCCTGCTTCCTAGGCCTGAGAGAAAGTGGCTAGCCCAAAGTCACCAACTGGTTTTGTGGCTAAGGCAAGTCCAGAACCCAGAGTCTTCAGGATCCTAGTCTGATGCCTTAACTACATCAAACTGATTCTCTAAGAACACTACCAGTGACTAAAAGAGATAACTCAATTTTTCCAAGATTAAAATATTTTTATAAAACAGATTCAACAAAATTTTAATGTTTTTATAAAGACATTGTATGAATTTTGAACTATCTTATGTATGCGAATGCAGTAAAGGTCTTTGATGTATAGTCTTGGGGATTTTTTATCTCAAAACCTTTGCAAAACCTTTGCAAAACCTTTTAACAGGGAGGTGTATACTTTCTATATCCACTGTAATTGCAGGGGAAATATTTGAAGCAAGGTAAGCCTAAATATGGATTTCCTTCATTTTGATATTATTATTATTATTATTATTATTATTATTATTATTATTATTATTA